TTCCTGGAGGGCCGCAGAGCTGCATGGAGCCCAGTGCTTCACTCCACGGCTGTAGGGGCAGCAAACTAAAATTCCTCCTAAAAGGAGTTTTAGTTTGCTGTGCCCCAAGTCATTTAAGGCACATTATGCCGCCGAATTTCCTACAGCGGCTGGAATTAATACACAATACGCCGCCGAGGCATGCAAACACCAACAACATAAAGTGATGCAAAAGCATTTAGCCCACTTTAAAATGTTGTGCACACATGCTTCCCATTTCATCTACACATGCCTCTCATTTTGTCTACACACGGACATACATGGACAGAGTGGAAAAGTTGGAAAAGTTAGGAGTATTAACATCTAGGCACCTCAGAATGCCAACTGATAGAAATCAAGGGACGATAGGTACAAGACCCCAAAAGCAAGGGCGACGTGTAGGGGGTGCACATGGGTGCACATGCACCCCCTGTGTGTAGCGGTGCACCCCCTACAAAAAGGCAATGGCGGCGGCATCTGTGGGCGGTCCGCAATCCCTGCTGGCTGCCTCTTCCGCCGCTGGCAGCGGCTGGGGGTGGTTGCTAACCCTTGGTTGGTGCTTGCCTCCTCCCCCGGGGGCATGCCCAAAAGACAGCTCAGAGTGTCCTGATAAACAGGTCCCACTATCCTGGAAAGGTCAAAATCAAGTTTAAATTACGACACCTAAACACACTTAGTGATTGGTGAAACTAGAAGGTGCATATTATAAACACAAAGTTATTTTGAAAGGGGCCTAGAAACCCTGAATACTTTCCATCGTGTTAGGAGTCATATTTTATATCGGTGCCATGTCTCACAAATAAACCTCACCAGCACTGTGCCCAATGTATGATGTTAATGTTTGCTTGTTTGTGAACAATACCTCTGGAAAAGTTTTTATTATGAAAGCTGGAAACAGCCTTTGTGTTGTCATAAAAAAATTTATGCCCATTTCACAAAGTGTGGCAGTGACAATAAGCAGTATAAATATGTGTTGGTTTTTTGCAGTGGACATCTGTTTGTTTTGGGGCAGGTTTGGGCTCCAGAAATACTGGGAGCACCTGACTGGGTTTCCCCACATTTTTGTTAATTTGGTGACATCTGTTTATAGCCTAAGAACCAAAGACAGTGGTTTCTACTACAATATGAAAGTCATTAGAAGTAGTGGTAGTATAGTCTCACTGACCATCCCAAGTAATGGAGTTTGACATGACTGCTACTACTCTGCCCCGACCACACTTGAAAGGAGTCTCACACCAGCCAATAGGTCACTGCTTTCCCTTTCATAGATTTCATAGACATCAGGGCTGGAAGGGACCTCGGAAGATCATCGAGTCCAGCCCCCCGCCCAAAGGGCAGGAAGTCAGCTGGGGTCATAGGATCCCAGCAAGATAAGCATCCAGTTTCATCTTGAAGGTGTTCAATGAAGGCGCTTGAACCACCTCCGGTGGTAGGCTGTTCCAGACCTTGGGGCCTCGGGCAGTAAAGAAGTTCTTCCTTATGTCCAGCCTGAAACGATCTTGAAGTAGTTTGTGACCATTCGACCACGTCATCCCTTGGGGCGCTCTGGTGAACAAACGTTCCCCCAGATGCTGGTGGTCACCCCTGATAAACTTGTAGGTGGCCATCAGATCACCCCTGAGCCTGCGCTTTTTCAGGCTAAAGAGCCCCAGGGCTCTCAGCCTGTCATCGTAGGGTCTGCTTCCCTGACCTCTGATCATGCGCGTGGCTCTTTTCTGGACTCTCTCAAGCTTCTCCACATCCTTTTTGAATTGTGGAGCCCAAAACTGGACACAGTACTCCAGCTGCGGCCTCACTAAGGCCAAGTACAGGGGGAGAATGACGTCCCGGGATTTGCTTGAGAAGCATCTATGGATGCAAGCCA